ACTTTGCACCCATGGTGGCACCAAAGAGTTCACTTTGTAACTAACTAACGCTGCAATGTCTGCTCTCTTATATACCTCACCGATCGTATTCAGCTATGAAAATTTACAATACTTGCGATTTAGTTACCGGTCTCTTCTTCTCTCATTCGTATTTGACATTTTCACCACAATATTATAGAAAAAATCATTATAATTACATTGGCTCCTCAGTAAGAAATTACAACCTCTTCGTATTTAGTTATTTTCTTGCGGGATATGAAAAGCTCCCCATAAAAATTTCACACGTCTTCGGAGGCAGCTTAGGAATAAAATATAGGTATCTTCGGCTATTAAAAATACATCCAGGCACAAGACGAACACAAGAAATTAGAGTAAAAGCTCCAATCAGAGTAACTCCTCTAGGTGTTTGAGGGAACTAACAAATAAGAAGTAACTCAGTGGTCAAAAGTATGTCACTGTTTAATTTCTCTTGGTTTATACAAGTCTTATCAAAACTGTACTTAAGACCGTCGATCACTTAGATATTTCCTTGAGTATCTTCAACTCCAGCCGATATGGGATTTTTTCTATATCGGCCAGCCCATAATACGATCGAGACTGGCAGCAGTAAGTATAAGAATTATACATGACGGATGTCACGTTTCTCTATGATTATTCGATTTTGTAGAAACATTTTATATTATATGGTTCTGGAATTTTGCGACGAAAGGCACAAAATAATCGGTATTTTTGGTTGAGTTCTGAGGAGAATTATATGGCATTTTAACTATTGTATTATTTTATACCTAGGCCCGTTTTCACAATGTCCGGTTAACTTAACCTTTAACCGGAGGATAGCTAACCGTCAGATAGACCACCAAGTTCTGGTTACTTACTTCTGGTTAGTTTGATCATTGTGAATATTTTAAGGTAAATTCATAAAAAATTGCGTTGTGAATACATCAAAACTGCATGGCAGCCGGTATTGGCTTGCATTTTTCCACAAGGTATGGTTGAGTAATTTTTAAGATCTTCCATTTTCTGTTTTATTTTTTCAATTTTAATTTTTGGTTATGGAAAAAACTTGTAGTTTATTGAAATTTATTTTATATATTTTGGAACTAAATTACTCAACCGATATTAACTTCTACCTCATCCAAATAAGAGCCATTCTAGATAATAAAATTGTGCAACTCTCTACAAACAACAATGATGCTCGTAGTTGGGATGGGCGAAGCTCTCAATCCATAGCTTCTTGATATGCTATTTCGATTACGGATTTGATATTCATTGTAAATACATTCGACGCGAAGATTGGGATGTAAAATTGACACATCCTGTAGTTGCTGTCAAGCCATAACCACTACCGTCCAATTAAAAGAATTCCTAAAATTCGGTTTGCTCAAACCAGTGGTTCAGGCAGCTGTTATTAAAATCAATGCTGTCATATCCAGAACCAGGTTACCTACATACAAATTTCATTATTTCCAATTACAAGCACCCTTTTCTGCTGTGAAAACTTTCAGCATTTTCAGACAATATTGAAATTGGAAAGTTCGCTATTCGGTGAAATGTCTACATTGTGCTCTCTATTTCTATCTATTTTTCAGTATTTTGATATATCATTGCACAAGTGTCACTACAGCAATGTATACTACTTACCACTCGACTGGCAGTCCCCACTTTTATGTCGCCGATCACCGGAATACAAATTAAAAAAGTTCGCGTTGCATAAATTCGTGCTTTATTCCTACAAATTCAAATAAATTATCCACAATATTTATTTACTAAAAGCGGTTTCTTATTTTACTTTATATTTTTTCCATAACGTAATTTTGGAAAGACGTTATGTCCGAATAATACTAGTTCTTCATATTCGTTCCCTATAAATACGCTTCTGAATCAACGCAGACGGATAGGCAGTGAAAAACGAACTTTCTGCTACCTTCCGATTAAGTTATTATTAAGTGCTTAACCGGAGATGGTGGAAAGAGATAAGTGAGTAATTTGTTAAGGAGTGGTGAACAAACCCTAACACGGTTGGGATAAAATTTAGACTACGTCTATTGTAAATGGCTTATTACTTACACCGTCTGTTATTAATACAGCTGATTACCAACACTTATTTTATGTTTGATTTGGAATTTAGTTCTCCGGTATAAAAAATCGAAATACGCCATCTTCATCTCCATCTTCAAGCCTTAAGTACCTTGCAAATCAGAGCTATAAAAGAATTGAAATGGACAATGACGAGGTGGACGATTCCTTTGATGATTTACTCGCAAAAATCGAAATACCTACTGTTCCCAAAGTGCCAAAGATAGAGAAATCACAAAGCTCGTCGAACATTAATGCACCATCAACTAGCACTACGACTACAAATGGTGCAACATCTGTGCCACCCTCAAAAACTGCGCCCAACACACATTGCATTCTCGTGAATTCAAAACAACGCGGTAATCCGGTACTTAAATCGATTGTCAATGTTCCAATAGAATTTCGGGACGATATTATACCAGACTACGTAGTGGGGCGTACGTCGTGTATACTTTTTATATCGTTGAAATATCATACTTTAAATCCAGATTATATATGCCAGAGGCTGAAGGAGTTGGGAAAACAATATGAATTGCGTGTTTTGCTCGTGCAAATTGATGCACCAGTAAGTAGAGGTGGAAAATCAATCAAGTTGTTCATATAACGTATAGCTTTTTTCACAGGAACCTCATTCTGCTTTGAAAAATTTAACACGTATTACTTTGCTAACAGATTTAACTCTCATGCTAGCATGGAGTGCGGAAGAAGCAGGAAAAATTATTGAAACTTACAAGCAATTTGAAAAACGTTCACCGGAGTGGATAATGGAACGCGTGGAATCAAGTCCGCATCAGAAGGTTGCTCTTTGATATTTTCCAGACATCATTGACTGAAATTAATTTATTTTCAGTTGGTTGCGGCACTGACAAGTATTAAACCTGTGAATAAAACAGATGCTGTGACGCTTCTACAAAATTTCGGCAAACTGGAAAATCTTATTAATGCAAGTGAAGAACGGTTGTCCCTTGTTGTTGGTTTAGGGCCAAGAAAAGCCTCCAAGCTTTACAAAACACTGCACGAACCATTTCTTACAAAATAAGTCTTCTACTTGCAAGTACAAACGTAAGTTTATTTTTTTTTTAACAAAACAGAATAAACCACATTAAAAAAACAAGTCGATTGTACATATTCCCTATATATCTACTCTAAAAATTTCCATAATTTTATTGTACCATCATCGCTGCAAGAAATCAATTGTCCCTCTTCCGAAGGATTCCATTTAACAGCATTTACATCCTGTAAGTGCGCTTTGTCTTCAGAAGTCATCAAAGAAAATGTCGGTTCATTCTTTTTTGAGTTTGCATCTTCTTTGAAAATGCGGATTGCATCATCACCACAGGCAGTGGCAATAAGACCAGTTTTCTTGCACCACGCAACGTCATAAACAGCTCTCGAATGCTCACCAGAAATAGTGCAAACACATTTCCACACCGTTTCATTATCTGGCGTATATATACCTTCTTCATTGCCCGGATGATAAGCACGCCAAAATTTTAAGGTTTTGTCATCACTACAGGACACTAGACGTTCGCCTTCCGCATCAAAGTCAATACTCCACACCGTACTGGTGTGTGATTCAAGGGTCGCTGTGGTGTACCAGTCATTATCTGCTGCATTTTCTGCATACATTTTTATTGTATTATCATAAGAAGCAGATGCTAATATTTCTTTTTTGGGATGCCATACCACCCTCTTGACGTCTTGTGTGTGAGAATTAAGTACCGCAGCACAATCAAACTCGTCCTCTCCAGCCAATTCCCAAATCCATACCGATTTGTCTCGTGAGCAAGTGGCTAGAAGACTACCTGAATGAGACCAACTAACACTTTTCACTTCATTTTCATGTCCTTCTAAAGTTGCGATGCATTCAAATTCTCCTGCAAAAGAGCGGCTATAAAAAGTAAGTGAAATAATTTTACACTATAGCATACCTGTAGTTTTTGACCATATAGCCGTGGTTCCATCAAAGCTAGCTGATGTTAAATACTGACCGCATGGTGACCAGCTAATTTCACGAATGGTGCGCTTATGGCCATCAGATAGTATAGTCTTTGTGGTCCATGTGTTACCCGATAAGGACCAAACTCGTATAGTTTTATCTTCCCCGCAAGAGGCGAAGGCATTACCTTTTGGATGCCATGCTACACCCCAAATGCGACCTTTATGACCTTGTAGGGAATGCTCCAGTGCTAATTTGCCCATTGTATTTAAGTTTTGATTAATTTTGAGGTAATGTTTCTCCTCAAATTTTGATTAATCGAGCAAGCTGTAATTTACGATTCTTCGACCGCACACAACCACTTAAGTTGCTTCTTCTTTAAACCACTCATTCACAGTTTCAACGTAAATCAGCTGGTGAAAGAGGAACGACTGCAGTTAATCAGCTGTATATTGGAATTCTATACACAATTTTCTTATCAGTGCTCTGGAAATGTTTTAAATTTATTTTTATAAACAAAAATAAGTCGAAAAATAAAGACAAACAGGATGAACGGCTTAATTGTGTTCAATAGTGCCAATGATGTTGTCTTCCAGCAGTTGAATACGGCATTAGCTGAACATTTCTTCGCTAAAAACGCTGATCTTTTTCCTGAGAATGCCACAGCCTCGTCTATCGATGGAAATATTATTTTGCAAATTTTCAGCCCTATCATCAACTCTCAACGTATTATGCATTGCCAATTCGACAATACTTACTCAAGTTTTCAGTGCGAAAATGGACTCAATTTCGCCTTTGGTGATCTGCTAGGGTATTCATTTATAAAAATAGGACAGCGCCCTGTAGAGATACTGAAACGTCACCTTGGTGTAGCAATTGCACTAGTACGCCATTTATACGGTGCTAATTTATTTGCTACGCAGGCCAGCAGTGTACAGGAAGAGTTACTCTCTACTTGCCTTCAAAGCTATGAAGAACATCTGTGGGATGAAGAGCAAGCACTACTGTTAGAGGCACTACCACGATTGCTAATCAACAACGAACTTAAACGAGTTGTACATTCTGCACTTGATGGCGCCTTGGAACGTCTGCGTGATCTGGGTCATCAGCGAATACACGCTCTGTTGTTTGCTTCTAATAAGTTTGTTGACTCTGCTACATCGAAACAAGCGCTGGCTTTAAGCGCTACCGATTTGGTATTTTTAACATTACTTTCCCGCTCCTTACAACGTGATGGTCGCCAACTGAATCGTTCAGTAGCTGTATTTCTACAAGGCGTTTCGCACGATCCCCACTCGGGTTGTGTACCATGTATAGCACACTTTTCACAGCTTTCGAAAGGTGTACTCTTGGTGCAGTTGGTCGAGTATGCAAATCTACAAGTAGCGAGCAGCATGTATGATACGTTCTTTGTATTACAAAAAATCATAACTTTGCAAATGCAAGGTGATGCAGACGCTATGAAACCCACGTATGATAGTCTGGAATCGTTTGTTAAGCAAACGTTAGATGCATTAAAACGTTCGAAATTGAAAGGAGATGAAGTGGATACTTCTTTGAAGAAATTCATTGCTAAGTGGGACAACTTAAAGAAAATGTATGGGGATTTCTTTCGTTCAGTAGAGCGTGAACTGTTGGTACGAATTGAGTCCAATATACCGTCATTTATGGATGAATTAAAACAGCTATTTACTCTAACTTGTTGCGACAGTTCAGGCATTGCTTTAGATCAATTACCAGAGGTTGCCTCGTTAGTTGAAGGAAAGATGCTGGAAATTTCCGAGTTTCTCGCAGTGAAGGCAGAGCGTAATATTACTATCGATGCTTATTTAGAAGATTTCCCCGGTACGTATAATAAAAAACAGTTTTTTGTGAAAACAATAAATGAAAATGAAATATATTTATTTTCTTAGGACTGATACATTTTGTATATGTAAATCGCTCCACTGGACTCATGATTGCACCCGATTTGCGCCCAAACCAGCTAATTTCCAAGAAGAGTTTATGGTCTATGGTCGAGTTCACCCGAAATTACTTAAAGAAAGGTCACACTACAGTAATGTGGAAGGACAAAACGTTTAATTATTCGTATTTCCTCTGGTTTGAAGATAAATCAGGCGGTCCTATGAAATCAATCGATATGCAGCAGCACGTTGTGGCTTCGTTATCATCAAATAATGCATTTAAACCACAATTCGAACCTGGCCTGCTTGCAGCTGATTATTACCAACAGCTAACTGAAATTTGCTTCCCAAAAGCCAGTCCCGGTAAAGTTAAGTGTTATGAGCTCTTTTGTATACATTTGGGGCTAGTAACGTCCACCTGTGCTGTGGAGCATTCTCGACGTCTCGCGGCTACTATAGCCGATGTAGCGGACGAAAATAATTAAAATTTAATACATGGAAATTTAGTACACATAAAATACATGAAGAAAAAACTATTTAGACATTCCAAAGATACTCAGTAGATACTTTTTTTTTACAAAATTTTATTTTTGTAACGTTTGTTTTTGACTTAAGCTTTAAACTTTAGTATTTAACATAAACATTCCTAAGACAAAGCTTCATTTAAAAATGTATCCAACATTTAATTAAACGCTTAAATTTACAAGCATTGACCTTAATGTCTATTATTTTTAGTAGTCCCTAACTAGTTTTAGCCGAATTTGTTACTAAATCGATTATAACTATTTTATTTTTCGCGTCTTTGATGCGCCACCAACGTCCAAGTCGGTGTTCTTGTCCAACAGCGGCAAATAATTTAGTACCATTATTGTTAAACGCCAAGTTGTTTATAAAACCTGGCATAGGAATCTTCAAAATCTCTTTCAGTTTACGTGAATTATCCATACACTGCCACAATCGGATGAATCCATCAAAGGAACCTGAGGCATTTGATGAGATATTCATTAAATTGCGATTTTTATGTAAGAAATAAATTTTGTTTCGACTAACCTGACGCTAACAGATCTGTATTTACTACACACGCAATCGCCGTTATCCAGTTGGCCAAGCCATTGCTTTGGGTGCCGTGCGCTAACGTAACAGTGCATAAAGACTTCTTTTTCAATGCGCTCCACAAACAAATTGAACTGTAAATAATAAATATTAAAAATTGCATTGATAAAATGTTTATTTCACTGCTTACCCATCTTCGCCACCAGAAACGAAGTTCTCATCGTTAATAAATTTAACACATTCGATGCCATTTTGATGTCCGTTGTATATGAGTTGCGATTCTTCTGTAATTTTCCATATACGCAATGAACAATCTATGCCACCTGAGGTAATTGCCCGTTCGCGACTAAGTGCGTCGATGCCTGTAACAGGTGCTTGATGCCCAAATCTGTAATAAATATATAATTATAGTAATAATATACCAATAACCTCTGGCATAAGGATTGCTTACAAACTTTCCACGTAGGCCATTTCGTCCAATGACCAGATTTTTACGGATCTATCTCTTGAACCAGAATATAATTCATGTGTGTCCCTTCGAAAAACTAGCGCTGTTACAGCATCTCTATGTCCTTTGAATGTTTTTAAGTGCTTCAATTCTTTTGGACACCAAATTTGAATATTTCGACCACCTTCTGCTAATGCTAAGTATTTCATGTCACTAGATAAACATATAGCAGTTACATGTGAACGTCGGTGTTTGTCACTTTCTCCGTCTTCCGTATGTGGCTGCACGTTGAAGAAACCTTCCAGGCTCACTTGACCTTGCACACTCCACTTTAACACATATTGCGTTTTGGCTCCACTAAACACATATTTACCATCTGGCGAAACGGCCAGCGCACACATCGGTAAATGTTGCTTTTTATGTTTCAGCGCTACCACATTATCTGCATCATAATCTTCTATGCCAGCAGCTATATTACGCCGCAACTTTCCCACACTATCAAGATATTCAGATTGCAGTCTTTGCGATACATGGTCATGTAACTCTTTGTCTTCTGCACGTTCTGCTTCTTGTTTCTCTATTTCTTCTAGATATTGCTTCGCTAAACGTAAACGTTTGTCTTGTGGTGTCTCCTCCTCGACTTCATCAGATGAGAAAACCAAATTGGATGCATCTCCTTCACCGTCGAGTCCGCTCTCGAACTCTTCATCACTCGCAATTTCTTCATCCTCCTTTTGTGGGCGTTTACGTGCAGGTGGGATTGAGTTTGACGTTTGTTTCCTTCCAGGTCCCTTCTTGCCGCCGGTTCCGCGGGGTTCTTTGGATAACTTTAATAACAGATCCATTAGTTTCTGTATGACGATGTTTGAAAATTTCTCGACTTACCTTTCGTTTTTTGCTAGCCTTTGGCTCTTTTTTTAGAAAGAATGATGACGACATGTTTTTTGATTTTTAATGCGGTATTTAATTTTTATTTGATACAATATAATTGATAAAAACTCAAATATTCAAATCGGCGTGCAATTGTAAGACCGTGCCACACGTGAAATTCGGTTTGTTATGACAGCAAAATCAACAGTTCCAGTCACAGCTGAAACGTCAAAATAATGCAAGCCATTCACAGTGGTATTAACAAACTGTTATAAACTTGAAACTTTTATACTTTGATAGGATTTTACATATTTGTAAAACATTTATTCCAATCACACTATTTATATATAAATATAAAATTCTAATTTAAATTTTGCATAATGAATGTAATATGAGAAATAGTGGTATTGCCAGACTACTGAGTTAAATAATAATTTTGTGTTGAAAGAGCAGGTGTTTATTTTGTATTTTACTAATAAATACGTGTAAAAATAATATAAAAATTTTGTGTTAAAATAAATGTTATTCTCTTATACGGTATTTCCTTGGCAATCCAATTACGTGTTTCGCTCTTTCAATCGTAATTCGCACTCACAATACATGCCGAATTATTTAATTCGCCATACAAATTTTTGTTAGCGAATTACACATAATGTGGTTAATTCATTGTCAATTACCTTTCAAATTACGACCAAATCGTTGCATTCTCTAATTTTTATCGTGTATATTCCCTAAAAAAAATTTTTTTTATAAAAACAAAAAAAACAGATGCCGTTATGAACTTCCATTATCCAACCGTTCCAAATGCTTGTCGAATGATATTTGCCATTTTCGAAAAGAACTAACTTTCGCATTTGCGTTAGGTAACGTGAATTTGCAGCATTCGAATTTAAATGCGGTTATAGAGTTACACAATGCGAATATATAGAAGGTGAAGTTGTCCGATCAAGTGATTGCTGCTTCTTCCTCTCATTTCAACAAATTACACAAATAAAATACATGAGAAATCGGTTTTGACATTCCGAACGTTCGTTTACACAAACAAAACACATTAAACGATTTTTGTTTTTGACTTTTTTAAACTATAATTACACAAACAAAATACATGAAATTTTTGTTTTTGTATTCATGTTAGCTGCCTTGGAATTACGTGCTGTGAAAAAAATCAACTGATTCATATTGTTGCGAAAATGCGAGGCGAATGTCAGATGAAAGAGAGAAGCCGATAACACAAGAACCTTCCATAGCGAACAATTCGATGCTTCTACGCTTTCGTCTGCGAGCAGCCGACTGCTATATAAAGGCGACACTCAGCTGCAAGTCAAGCAGTGACAAAGCAAATTGGTTGGCGTTAACATCAGTGAAGACGTAAAGTGAACGCGTTGGGAATTACATTTAAGTAGAGGAAATTGTGAAAGTTGATGTTAGTGATTATAAATAGTAAAGTGCAGTATAATTGAATTGTGAATTACTGAGAAAATAAAGGACATTAGATAGAATCTTTATAACGAAAGAAACTGCAAACTAAGTTGGCGAGTTTTTTTTATTTAACAATCCAGAGATCGTACCCGAAGGATCTAGAAAATAATCGAGGTTGATTCAGTAAAATCGTAACAATATTATATATTTGAAAAAAAGCAAGAGCGATTTTAATCAGAAGCAGTAAAAATATTTTGCATATTTGGTTGTAATAAATTTAATAAAAAAATAAATTTAATAAAAAAATAAATTTAATAAAAAATATATTTAATCAAAAAAAAACTATATTTTCTTAGATGGACCGAAAGCTATAACTCTTTATCATTTTAAAAGTAATGTCATTAGGCCTCTCTCATAGAAACTATTTTCAGACGCTTCTCTTGATGCCAATTTTTTACCAGCGAATGGCGAGTCCACGGAGAAGAACATGTGGTAATCACTTGGTGCGAGGTCCTGACTTCCACTGCTTATGAATCTTCTAACCAAGTTCTCGGAGCTTCTTGCGCGTCACTATCGATTTTTGTGGCCTGGCGCTGTCCTGATGAAAAAAATAAATCCCATTCTATTGGCCAAAGTAGGGCGCTTTTGGGCGAATGATTCCTTCAGACGATCCAATTGTTGGCACTACAGATCCAAGCTAAGAGTTTGGTTGTAGGAGAGCAGCTACTAGTGAATTATTCCCTACCAGTCCCACCTACCTGGGCGTCAGGCCTGAATTGGATACCGTTTTTGCCGGCTCACTGTGCTGCTACAACTACCATTTTCATTTGACGTTGCTAAAAGTGATCCAACTTTCATCACCAGTCACATTCCGCTTCAGAAATCGTTTGATTTTGTTACAGCTGCGCTTAACAGTTGGAAATTCGCTGCATGAATTTTTTTCTCGTTAACTCAAGTGACACCCATACATCGAGCTACTGTGGGTATCCAGGCTTTTTCAAGCGGTACCAAACTATTTTCTGTGTAATGTTTAGTTCATAAGCAATCGACGATTTCCACTGTTTGATTTTATTGACATTTTCAAAATTACCGTTTTTTTCTCTTTGCTGGCCGCCATCTTTGCCATGCGCTCAAGCACTACCGAGTTATCTCTTTTAGTACAAAATATCGTCTTTCTGACGCCATCTAGCGTAATCCAATCGCACTTCAAGAATGGATTACTTTTTACTATAGCTAACATTAATTTCGAATTGCGAGTTATAGAATTTTAAAATTTTATATTTTGTATTTATTTTATTTTTAACTCTTAAAAGTACAACGTATACATGCATCTTTTGAATTTGTAAACCATTTAAAAGCTTCTTTGTTTTTGTTTTTGTTTTTGTTTTTGCTTTTCCTTATTAATAGATTGATACACCCTAATTCTTAACTCGAACTGAAATATGCACACAAATAACAGCATTTACCTTTCTACGAATGCAATTTTATATATATATATACATATATATATGTATGTAATATACACGAAATTTAAAGTTAAATGAAAAAAACAGTTAAATACTAATAAAATGCTGGTACACTTAGAATGAGTATTCGTTAATAATTATAAATTAATTACATATGTGTATATGTATGTACACACACTTACGTATAGAGAATGAATATTCATAAAAATAAAATATAAAAATATGGAAAACATATGCCAGCTTAGCACAGTTGCTGTGTAGCTAGGCAGTAGTGGCCCCATTCAGTCCTCCTCCTCTCTAAGCCTAACCTAGTCTCGTGTCAATTGCGGAAGGTGGTGGCTGTGCTTTCGACTGTGGCGTTGGCGTGGGTTCCGTTAGATCGGTAACTGTTGTCAAAATTGATTCGTCAAGAGAGGCGATGCGGGAAGCAGCCGTCGAGTGCGGCGAGTACTGAGTTTCCAGGTCGCTGGGCGTAGTGGTTGTTGTAGATGCAGTAGTCGTGCTCATGCTGGACGAGCTGGTTATTGCATTTGTTGTTGTTGGCGTTGTCGTTGTCGCACCTGTTACTGCGCTAGTTGCGGTCGCCTGCGACGGAACTTCTGTTGCACTCGCAACGTGCGCCGTTGACGCATGCCCACTGGACACGCTCGGTTGGAATAACTGAAAGAGGCTGGAATGTTTCACAATGGGCGGGAAAATTAGATGACTGACAGCACGCAACGGACTGAACATGTCGTGCTGATGACCATGTATCGTGTGTGGCTGTTGCAGTCGTTCCGTAGCATTGCAGTTCAATTTGTGATTACTGTTATTATTCTTATTGTTATTGCTGCTATTGTTATTTATCGGTGGCCTAATATTACAACCATTCAGAGCTGATTGTTGTTGGTGCTGGTGCTGGGCGATATTGCCATTATTGACGGTATTGGAATGTATGTTTGCCGGCGTGTCTGGGGCTTTTACGCTATTCGCGAGCTCTTTGGTGTTAGGCGTTGTAGCTGATGTCTCGCCATAGTCGGAAAATGACCGTCTACTACTTGTGTTCTTCGCCGCCACCGATGACTTGTTGAAGTTCATGGGCAGACGTTGTGCTTTTCTGAATTTACGCTTGCGACGTGGAGACAATGGATTTGTGTCATTTTCAACGACATAAACACCGGTGTTACTGAGGCCCGATAGACTGGAGGTGGAGCGCGAAAGTGAACCAACAATGCTAACGCCAATAACATCAGCACTGTCATTATCATCGGCAGCCCCAGAGGTGGCAGCTGTCGTCGTCTTACTAATGTTAACCGCTTCACTGTGTGGCAAACGTCGCTGCTGCACTGTGGTCAGCAGTCTGGTGCGTGCGGGTGGCGTATGACCTGCGCTTTGTTTTTGAATATCATAATCGCTGTACGAGGAGTCGGTGAGCACGCGTTGGTTGCTCATCACCTGACTCTGGTAGTCCATGTCGTCCGAGCGCAATTTCTCGCGCATTTCGCCAGCGATTTTTTCATTCCTCTGTGTATGCTTCAGCTGTCCATTTGGTCTGACACTTTCGACACTATTTGTGCCACTGTTGTTTTGCATGTTTGGTAGGAAGACTTCGTCCAGCTCAGATTCGTCCGGGCTAACATTATAATTGCAATTGTTATAAGAGTAGGCCGTACTGTCGCAATGGTCGAGGGAAGAAGCACGCCGTAGTGTGTGTGATACAGGAGTGGGTGGTGTATTCGAGCTTCTTTCTATGGGGAATTCATAATTGACATCCTCAAGTTCAGCGCCGCTCGACGCTTCCATTATATTCCACATGTTGCGTCCAATATCGGTGGGCACTGAAGCCACGGCAGCCACTGTGTGGTGTATGTTGTTCAGGCAAGGTGTAATAACACCGCATTTGGGTGCCAACTGCGAGCTTTTCAGGGATTGTTGCTGCTGTCGTAGCCAAATGGGTGAATCTGAAGTAAAAGATAATAAAATGAACTTACTCTTATCAACAACTTTTTTCACAATTGCTCACCTATATAAATACGCGGTTGTAGCGAGTGTCGCATGCTGGCATCTATAGATTGCAGTCGATGCTGGCTGGCGAGCGAAAACCGATGCATAGGATCCACTGGTTGTTCCACTTCAATACCCATTATTTTCAGCAATAAATTCTTCAAAGCCAATCGGAAATCCTTCAAATGGTAAGCATACAATACGGGATTGCCTGCCGAGTTAAGGTGAGAGAGTATAATGCTGAATAGCGTCAATTTCCCGGAAACCTGACAGTCCGGGCAGAACGCTTTGATGCAGTTAATGGTGTACAATGGAAACCAGCAGATCATGAAGAATAAAACGATTATGGAGAGATTTTGAGTGGCCTTAACATCACGTTTACGTGATGCGCCTAAAACACGCAGCATTGTGCCGCCATGTGATTGACGACCGGGGGTCATATGAATTTGCGTATTCGAGTTGCGCCGACTGCTGTCGCTCATCGGATTCATAGTGACTATTTGGCGTACCTGCAAAAGTGGTGAGTGTGGTAAGTTTCAAATACTCCAGTAACAAAGTTCCTAATGAAATACAAATATTCGTGCTTCTTTCAGCTGCTACTTACCTGCTTCACAATCACGCGGTATATGTGCGTGTAGAAGGCTAGCATTAGTAATGCCGGCGTAATTATGGTCGCAAAGTACAGGAACACCAAATAATTGTAGTCCATTACTTTAACAAAATGACAGCTCATCTCCGCTTCATTTTCGGGCTTTACGTGCCAACCGAATAGCGGCAGGAAGCCCACAATTGTGCCAGCGACCCAACACATTGAGATGATGACTGTAAAAGGAAAGGAAAAATGCAAAGGTTGAAAAACAATTAGGCGGTGAATAATGAGAAAGAAATAGAAAAAAACTCACAAAGAGATATTTATATTCAGAAGTGGAATAGAGAGTGAAAGTTATCTTCAAGGAAATCAATAACGTCATTACGGAAGCCTTAGATATGGTGTGTATGAGTATGGGATTTAAATGTAATTACAACAGAGTTACAAATTGTAAAAGAGCAATGCGAAAAGAATAACACCTTCCACAAAGCTCGTCTTGGTGAAGACTCGTAAGGTATGGCTAAAACTTAGCCTTGCCTAGAATTGAGAATATATCAATACCAAGGTCATTTTTTCTGGGTCTCACAGGAGGCTTTATCTCAAGTACGGTCTCTAAGAATTAACTTTTGAATGAAGATTTGAGTTGAAGCTCAATCCTCCATAAATTTGCGATGTAACTAGAAAAGAAGTGTTTAGGGAAGATGAATGGCGCAGGAACGTGCGCTTCGCCAGTATAAAAACTAGACAATCGGATAAAAAATGGCTGATGGCGGTAACGCCGGAGTTTATTACGTCGAACTAGACCTCAGGCAGCGCTTCATGCTTCTAGTCATTATTTTCCAGCCAAAAATCTTCGCTATAGGTAAAGCTGCTGATACGTGTGGTGACAATTAAGTAATGACACTTTTCCATAAAAATCGTATACTTCAAAATTATTCTACAACTCTGCCATCCCCTTCAAAGTAGTCCTCTTGGGCAGCTATACAAGGCAAGCATTTTCCATGCTTCGTTACATTTCTGGAATGTTTTGACTGGGATGTTGCCTGGATGTCCTCAATCGACTCAAAATGGGGTCTTTTGACCACTGAATTTATTCTCCAAAAAAAAAAAAATAAAAAACAATGGGTGATGTATCGAGCGAATAAGGCGGTTGTTGCAACACGGCCATCCCTTTAGAGGCCAAATATAACTGGTCTTGTCGTCTTCCAAACTTTCACGCCTCTCCTTAAGCTCTTTATTCCATCGAAACACCTGGGCTCTACTAAGAGCACTATCACCATGCACAATTTTAGCGTACGTTTCCAAAGCTGTTTCGCCGATATATGGAGCAAAATTTTAACACGAGGCGTTGCTCGTTTTCATTTCGTTTTTCCATTTTCATGATCCTTGAATACACGTTTACTCAACACGACACAGCAGGCGAACTAAACAAGCTAAAGCGATGGCAAATATATCAATGGAGAGGAGAAGGATGCCGGGAAAAGGGAAAGGTAGCAAGATTATCACAGTCGCGGCAATATAATCAGTCTCATTACTTAATTACTTAAGTGTAAGTTCCATCCGTCTTACTAGTGAACCAGTACTGGAAATAGAAAAGTCGCTAAAAGTGATCTATAATTTAACTTAAGAAGGAGTTGGAAGCCGGAAGTACAGTGAGGAAGACGTGAGTGCGGCGTTATCTATAAATTATCTTAGATATCTCGGAGCCGCGAAAATCAAAGCACTAGAGGCGGCTTCAAATATATGGATTTTAAAGCTCTCTTGGACTACGTCCTATATAACCTATTGCCAGTTGATGATCAAGCGTCTATTAAATGTTGCTTGGAATCTGATGAGAAAAGAAAAATAATATCCCTTCACTACAGGCGATTGGGTGGTTCAAAAGTGAAGATTCGGGCAACATGTTCTTCAAAGCAAGTTTTATGGCGAAGTGCACCGGCGAGTACACATTCGATTAGATCATGAAGGACCTAGCAGTGCGTGCCAAAATGCAGAAAATCCTGCATAAACCAACATCGTAGAAAATTAATTTCAAGAAAATTATTTTTTATAATTGCGATCGCCTCACGCCAGAGAATATCAACCCTTTTTGACATGAAATAAAAATCACATAGAAATTCCATCAAACAACGGAGGCGGCCATAACCAAACTTTGAGTTCCTCCATTTGTTGGAAAATTAATAAGGCATTCGCCACAAATTGAAGAAGGAGCTCGGCCGAAAATTATTTACAGACGTTTTAAAGCGTAACTAACGCTAACGGGAAAGGAGTGAGCTGGTTTCGCTTGGTATCTCAAAATAGCATCAAACAGCAACAACCAGAAATTGGTGGTATGCTATTATTGACTTGAATTTAAGGTTAGGTGCGAAGAAGGAGAAAAAATGAAAATATGACTCCAAATTCGCCAATTGAGCTGATTATTGATATATACCCCACTTGAGATTTATGCTCCATCTGTCGCTCCTATATATTGACAGCATTTATAGAGTTTACCTCTTAGCAAATCCATATAATAAAAAATTTCTTTTAACTGATAAGTTCTATAAGCTAATTACTAATAGATCACGTTTTTTAACTCACACATATAGAGAAATTACTCCAACCTCCTTGGGCTTGGGGACCGCTACATGGCTGTTACGTCAAATCAACTAAAATAATTCCATTACTGCCAACAAGTATCGAATTTCTTACGTACAACTAATAAATACCTACATATGTATGTATGTATGTATTATATGTATGTAGAGTATACTTACGCTAATAGGTATAAAAGACAGCGGCACTCGACCGAGCCCCCTAAATTACGCGCGGCTACAATATGTCTTGTATGGACAAGCATAAAGTCATTACTTGTCGAGACGAGCCCACTATTGCCTGTCCATTTAATTCATATAAATTACTATCTATTTTACATACTAACGACTGTACCACGCTCCCGGTGGGTGAATGTGTGTGTGTGTGTCTCTACTTTTGTGTGCCGCGCTGTGCTGTTAAATGCTCTGCCACTGTTGTGTATAAATTAAGTAAATGTGTTCGTCCGCCACTTCAATTGATTGCCGAGGCAAGAAATCGCATGTGTGAATCAACAATGAGAATATACACTCATACATATACATATGTGTATACGACGACATTCAACAATTGCATATTGATGTGAAAGTGTTCGTATGCTGTGAAGCGATTATTGCGCTTGGTTTAATTGAAATAACTATTTTTAGTTGACTTGATTCATTCAATGGACCGTAGTAGTCGAACTGGTGCCTGTTACTTGACATGCCACTGTGCGGACATTTCTAGAAATGTATCCTAAGAAGAGTGAATGAAGATGCTTAAAAACTCCCAGTGGTTAGCTAAAGGTTAGTAGAGTTCTGGACTCCTGCAAGTTTGTACGTTCTTTATTTGTCGGACGAATTTTACAGTAAGAATAGAAGATCTGCCCGATAAATGGTCAGAACAGGGAACCTGTTAAGCAGATTCCTTTTATCCTTCCAAATGCTCAAACCAAAGGAAATTATGAAATTCAAGAGATTTATGTTGTGCACCGATGCAAGCCGTGCAAGGCAAACGAAGAAGAAATTTCCGAAAAACGGCACAGCACTGAGAGGTGAGCTGTGACGAAAGTAATGTTTACCGATTCCATGCAGCTGCGGTAGAAATAGTTTGAGAAGCAACCCTTCCTTCTACCATGAGTCCGGAGAAGACAGTGTCGGTTATTATGCCGGTTGTTTTGCCGATAGAGATCTGGCTTAGAAGGAGGTCTACTTGCATCGATCAATGACAGGATTTGTTTGCACTTTCACTCTGCTTTCTACTATTGACCCTTCTGGTGAAGGCTTTGCCGAGGAAAGCGATATGATCACATCATGTGCTTACCTGGGTTATGTAAGTCTTATTTTTGGCCGTTTGGTAAGTCCCTATGACCAGTTACCCAAACCACGCACGTTTCGCATATAGTCAAAAGCTTTCTTAAGATTTCTTGGCATTTTACTGAGGTGATATGATTGCATCAAGGAGACTTAATAGCAGGCCAGCTCTGGATCTAGCAGCCATAAAATGACTTCCCTTATAGTGGTTAATTCCGCTGTAAGGCGCGGCCGTGGTCAAGAAATCTTTTACTTAATTCAGAGTATGAGATTAAACTCCTAAACCTATTTTGCCATCTAGTTGAGAGCCGTCAGTGAAGATGGCTTAGGGATCTTTGATCCAGAACTGTTGCATTTTCCGACTCGTTCCTCTCAGCCGTTTTTGTTTAAAAATTATTGTCATAGCATAAGACGGAAGTGGTTTAGTCCACCTCTTTCGAGGTACAACCTCCAAGGCGTCCAGAACTCTACTAATCTTTCAAACACGCTTCAGAAAACCACCGGGAGTTTGTAAGCATTTTAAGGGCTTTCGCACGAGTTGAGCGCAGCGCACTAGTAATGAATGTGCCGTCTGTCCGCTTTGTCTAGGTAGAGCTGACCGCCAGACAGTGACTTCGTACAATAATTTGTGTTAGCTTCTCTTATCGAGTGCGGTCATAGCTTTCTTAAACCTTTCTACTATGCTTTTCGGTTCCAGGTGAGTTCGCTATCTAAGATTGGGTCCAGATATTTAACCACAGCAGATGAATAACTAAAAGCAGATGGTTTGTGTCTTCTAGGGAAGAATTCTAATTTGATCTTTAAAGCATTTACATACAGACTGTAATCACTGTACCAGCTACATACTGTGTAAAGACCATTTTGGAGCAAATCGATCAGAATCTGGAAGTGCTTTCCAGTTGCTTTGAGAACAATGACATCAGTATATGCCCTGTGTCCCAACTTGAGCTTATTATTTTGCGAATATAGTTCGAGATCGGTTTTAGAGATGACCTCCCTGTGTCTCTTACCTTCAGAGTTATGCAAGTAGGAAGTGAAACATCCAATAACCCCTAAACGGCGTTGATGTTCAGACACCGGGACGGGGTGTTGTATGGGTGTAAAATCAATCGTAAATAGCGTTTATTCGGGACTGAGTTGAAATCTTTCACATATTTCCATCGAAAAAATTCCAAATGGAACTAGTTCTTTCCTGAGCATTTCGAAATCAACAATTGCACCGTTTCTTCATTTCTTCGTGAACTACAAATACAATACAACGCTGTCGCATGTCCTTCTTCTTTATGTAGTTGTTTTTACAAGAAATGAACTGAAGACTCTGCAATTTGCTAAAGATAAATGAAATGCGTCACGTTTATTTGACGTTGCCAGCTCATACATATACATACATGTACATGCGTACATCTGCTCAGTAGTTATTTGTGAGGGAGGACATGTACTGCAGGGGTCAAACTTGCTTACGCGCCGAGTACGTGTGCATTCATTTCGTTTGGTTTTGAAATAGCGTGGCAAGAAACGCGTGATAAATGATTGTTTTCGCGCGCATTCGAACGCAATTATGTGCAGCTATAAGTATAAATATATATATATATGTATATATATGTATGTGCATTTCACTTCAATTAAGTAAACAAATATGTTTTGTTTATTTGTGTGGGAATGCCAATAGTAGTGGATTCGCACAGTTACCGCCATAGTCCACCTTGTTAAGGGGTGTAATTGTACAAAGCAATTCTTTGTTGAAATTTGTTGTTAATTAGCTAATTGGGTTGTAGTGCTAAATATAAATTCACCAAAAAATGGGTGAATCCATTTGGGTCATTGGACATTCGGGTCAAAATTTTCGGTGATTATATAGTAATTTTATTTGTTTTTTTTGGTGTTATTTTTCAATGTGAAATTCTCGAAGGTCATTTGTTGCGTGCTTACTTTCCGGTATGTACGTGTACATATATAATTTTTCTCGTTTGCATCGGTTTTATATAAATAGAAAATATACAAGGTGCGTTCCAAAGTAAACAGGACTTTTTGAATCTAGCGCCCTCTAGTGACGTAATCTATATGTCAATGTCGATAGTGCATTGGAATCCGCCATCCTTTATCGACTTCCAGTAAAAATTTCATGACATTTCATCTATTGGAAGTGAAGTTATTGCGTTTTAAGTGTCAGTATGTTTTTGTCATCGGTGCGAAAATGAGCTTCGAATAAAGAGCCAACATTAAATTTTGTTTTAAAATTGGTAAAACTTTTACCGAAACGTTTCAATGATGAAACAAGTTTATGGCGATGATTACCTATCCCGTAGCAGAGTTTTCAAAGTGGTCGTGAGTACATAAATGACGATGAACATGTGGGGCAACCAAAATTCGTGAACACCGAAAATTCCATCGAAACTGAGCGTAAATTCAAAAAAAAAAAAAAAATCGGCCGAAACCATCATTGAAATTCATGGAAACAGAAATGAACATCTCCAAAACATTGATTTATCACATTTTGATCGAACATTTGGTCTTACAAAAGGTGTGTGCGCGGTTTGTTCCGCACGAATTGACTGACGACCAAAAATTGCTCAGAATTCAACATTCGAAGAACATTATTAAATAGACCAAAAATAACATTTAAACAATCAACCACTCCCCGTATTCACCTGATATGGCACAGTGCGACTCCCACCTCTTCAGAAAAATGCATTTGCCAATGAAAGCAAATCGTTATGCAGTCGTGAAGACCATTCAAAAGGCTTGCACCGGCATACTGGCGGCCACACCGGGTAACGAGCTAAAACACTCGTTCGACATGCTTTTGGGCCGTGCAAAAAGCGTGCTGTATTAAAGCAGAAGGAGACTATTTTTAATGAGATTAATTGATTTTGCCGATAAAATCATTTGTTCTGCCCTTTTTTTTAAGTTTTGTTTAATTTGTAACACATTTTGTATATTAGGTGTAGTAGAAAGCAATCCTTAATTTTTCCACTAGATGGTGTTTATCTCTATCGCGCGTTGTTTAAGTTCGATCGGATTCCGCTAGATGGCGTTAGAAAGATCACATTTCGTGCTAAAAAAGTATTTCTCACAGTTTTGTTGTTGCTTGCTTCAGTTTTCTTTGAGCGTGCGTCAAAGATGGACACTAGCAAAGAGAAAATACGCTATATTTTAGAGTTTATCTTCGATCGGCACGGAAACGCGAGCCAGTCGGCTGAAAATATGAACAGCATTTATGGTTCTGATACTGTTACAGTCAATCATACACAATTTCGATTTCATTCCGGTAATTTTAATGTCAAAGAAGCTTCATGGAGTGAAATGACTCTTGAATAAGGCTGGATACGAAAAGTACTACACCAATATATTACATATATACACGTATGCATATCTCAATGAAGATTTATAGCTGCAAATTAAACTTAAACAACCGTCACTTTCTTCTTTTTCTATTAACTTACAATAGATATTTGTTTCATCTTAAGAAAACTACATTGCTTTGCCCTCATCGCCTCCCCCGGCTACGTGGGTATAGCTTAGCTAACCAACTATGCACCCTTTTGAAAGAGCTACGTGGTTTACGGACAATCACAAATAGCACCTCTTGAAAATAGTGATTCACTACCAGACCCACTCATTTCGCTACTTTGGCCAGTCTTGAGAAAGCAGACATAACTCATTTACACTCATTCTTTTTAAATCTGACGAAACCCCGATGTTGTGCGACCACAGCTCAAACTCAACAAAAAACAATTGTAGAGCCTTTGGTCGCGGTAGAAATATTTGTATCTATCTAAGCAAAATTAATGGTACGATTAAAGACTAAGCCCTTCTTGAGAAATAATTTAGTGGGCTGGGCTTGGGATCCGTGATGTGGAAAGAATATCGTAGGTGTGTCTAAGGTATAAACATAGGACTGATGAGTTCTCTCTTTTAAGTTATTGCCGCAATCCTAATTATGGGATCTACAGTTCATTTTATGTCTTTATGTCGCCTTCAAAAGGCTACTAAATAGTTAATTTACTCTGCCCTTACCACTTGAAGCCTGGAACATACTTAATTTAAAATCTGCAGGTTACATATATTGAATGGAAAGCTCCAAGCCTAATAATTTGTTTTCAGTCTTTAACTAGCTTCAGGCTTCTAGATTCATAAAAGGAAGGTCGACCAAGTCATTATGTAACTTGGGACACCGAAGAGCTATTGTATATTCACTACCATTTGTTGTAGTTTTATAAAAAGTTTCAGCAATAAAAAATCTGCATTAAATTTTCTTAAAATTCCAACTGAATATTCCTGTAAACTACCAATAACAGACCCTATCGATTAATAATATCAATTGAGATACTCAAAGTAATACTCACCAATAGCTGTACGCGTTCGCACATTTCTCGAATACGCCATCGGATAGAGTATGGCCCAATAACGATCCACCGATACTGCAACCAAGCAGAATATCGAAATTGTACATAAAACCACCAACAGCGAAACGGTAAAGAGACAGGTGTATAGATCTCTTGGTAAACCAATTGAAGCCAATATAGCAAATGGCACACCAAGTGAACCGACCAAAAAATCAGCTATAGCCAATGAGACAATGTAATAATTGGTACGCCTTCGGAGTTTACGTTCACGTTGAAAAACAACAATTACCATTAGATTACCAACAACGGCAAAAATGGCGACTAATATCTCAAAAACCATATAAGGTACATTCAAATCATCGGACATCTCATTGCTGTCGGACGGTGTGCTCTTCGTCGACAGTGTAATGGGCAAGGTGAAGAGTGTGGAGTCATTGGCACGATATTGAAAATCGGTGAATGAGAAGAAACGGAACTCGGACATTTTGGGTGTTTCGAGTTTGCGGAGAAAATTTCAATGGAGATTGTTTCGGAAGTTGATTGCAGAGTACAGTTGGTGATTATGTGGCGTAGTGGAATGCTGTGTTTGTTGCGGAGAATACTATTTTGGTAACTAAAATTTATATTATTATATTTTTTTATCTTTTCTTTGGTTATATTGTTATTTTTCTTTCTTTTTTATGTTGCTATGGCAACCTTTAATGTGCTTTTATTCAGCTCGTTAGTTTGCTGTTAATCTGCGCTTTTCAGCTGAAATTTTAATTTGTGCTTTTTTGTTTGTCACCAACTCGTGATACCTGTTGGTTCCAATTTTTCACTTAAAAGCAATTATACGATTCACTGAAGTGTGCTGGAGCGCGTGGGTTTGTGAATAATTTGTAATTTGTATAAGAATTTTGCTTGGCACTTTTTATACTGCGGTATGGTCACCGGTCACATGTCGCAGGTCACCACTGAGTACTTATTTGTTATGTTAACGGTAAGGATATTCCACGAAGCAGGGATTAGAAACACATACACGTGTTTTTAAATATTAAATGTTTCTCTTTCTCACTTGTCTAGTCTTTCACTGTTAGTTAGCTCGCTTTTAACACTTTTCCAACTTTTTTATTTCTTTTATTTTTTGCTTTCTTCTCTCACTTTAACACTTGACGTTTTTTTTATTATTTGCTATTATTTTTCACACCTCGAAGTAATGTCTTAACGCAGTTGTTGTTTTAATCGTTTTGTTGGTTGTTGTTTTGGCAGAATTTTTTATTTCTGGTTTTATATTCAGCAATAAAATATTAAAGCGTTGCTCCTGCTTATTTCGTTCACATGAGTTTTTCACTTTTCTGCTTTGCAGTTTCTCCAAATGTATTTGGTCACATTTCAGCATTCGCAGGGCGAACACAACTTGCTGTATGATACATTTGTACTTTTTGCTATTTTCCAGTGTTATTGACATTCGTTGATGGCTATTGTACATTGAAGCCATATTGAAGCGAAGATTTTTGATGAAGATTTATGCTTTACAAGCGTATTGCGTCGTGATCTGTAATGAGAAAAGTGAGAAGGATTTAATTTGTCTTCTGGTTTTTGCTATTTTTTCTATATAATGTAATGATTGAGAATTCAATCTACTAAATTTCAAGTAGCTGGAGTTTTATTACTAGATATTGCTTTGGTAAAAAGTAATTTAAATTAATTTAGCAAAAGTTGGCTTTAGTGGTCTGTATATTATGTTATATAAGTGCGATTGGATTACGCCAGTCGGCGTTCGAAAGATGATATTTTGTACTAACAAATATAATGGGAAAGTGTTGGTCACTCAGCAGTGTTTCAGCATATGTCAAAGATGGACATCAACAAGGAGAATATATAGTCAAAACTTTTTCTTCGGCAAAGGCGGAAAGGCAAGGCAGACAGCTAAAAATGTGAATAGTATTTATGGTCCTGATAATATAGTAGTCCATCATGCACAACTTTGGCTTTTACCCTGTTTCGTTGCGCTAATTTTTATGTAAAAATTGCCCGAGAGCTAAATTTTAACTGTACAAAAAACAGTTTGAAAAAGAGTATATACCCAGAGAAGCACGGTGTATAAGTGCCACACGAGTTAACGAGAAAAAAGTCTCATGAACTGAGTTTCCATCTGCGAATCGCTGCTGAACGTAACAAAGCCGAACCATTTCTGAAGCAAATGGTAACTGGTAATAAAAATTGATCACTTAAAGCAAAGCCAAGCGAAAACGTTCGTGATCGCGGAACACCATCGGATTGATTTCATCCTTTGCTTCATTTCAGATCAACCCAAATTTACTGATTGACAATAGCATTTGAAATCTCAGTGGAAAAACTAAAGTCTGCGTCTTCAATAACAAAAATTTACCAATTCAACCCACCATTTAAGGGGTAATACAAATCATCATATTATATCACCCTGCAACGTTATTTCGCTAAGTTCGAGTATATCCCATTAACAAAATTTGGCTGAATAGAACATATCGAAAGCAAAACGTTTAAAATTTGGAATGTTTGTAGAAATGCCTCAAATGGGGATTCAAAAAAAAAAAAGGTCGATGTTTGGGTGCTAGACGAACTAACGCAAAAAAACCTTGATAGACCGAATTTTCATCTGCGATTTTTGAAGCGTATTGTGACTGGTGATGAAAAACGGGTCACTTACGACAACATCGAGTGCAAACGGTTGTGGCTAAAGCTCGAGGAGGCGGCCGGTGGCCAAGACCATGCTGACGGCGAAGAAGGTTTTGCTGTGTGTTTGGTGGATTGGTCAGAAATCATCTGCTACGAGCTGCTCGCCTATGGCCAAACGCTCAATTCAGCCCTCTACTGCCAACAAATGGTCCGTTTGAAGGCAGGACTCATCCAGAAGAGGCCATCTTTGCTCACCAAAGGCCGAATTGTGTTCCATCAGGACAATGCCAGGCCTCACACGTCTTTGGTGATGCGACAAAAGCTCCAGGAGCTCGGAAAGGAAGTTCTAAAGCACTCACCTTATAGTCCGGTCCTGGCGCCAAGTGATTACCATCGTTTCCTAACCATGGCTCTCCAAGTTTTTTGCCAATAGGGACGCAGCTTTTTACGAGAGGGGTACAATAAAGTTTATATTTGACAAACACAAAGTTATCATATTTTGAAAAATCAATAAAAAACCGAACGAGCTTTTTACTACACCAATATATTTATATATATACTATATATATACTACAAAGCCTACAATATAAATAAATAAAAAGGCATACATACATACTGCACACTTCTTTAAATTTTCTCTCTAGTTATGCTAGTGACCTTGCTAACGGCATTTCAATTCATTTATTTGCCCATTTCATTTTTGCACTTCTACGCCATTCTTCTCTAGGGTTTTTTTCAAACAAATATTAATCGTTTTATTTCGTTTGCCTGAGCCTCATATCAAACATTCCTAACCGTTATATACTTGAGTTGAGTAAGTTGTTATTTTTATTTTGAACCTTTTGCAGCCGTTCTCGTTATTGTGTGTCATAACACCCACTACAATGGTTTTTGGTTAAGTAGCAAAGTGGCAAGTGGTTTTGTCGCATACTTTCTTTGAGTTTTGTTTTGTTAGTAGCTTCTTTTGTTGTCCTTTCGTGTTGGCTTTTTGACTTTATTTGTCAGCTATTTACAAACAGATGTACATACACGTAAGTATATATTTATTAGCAGCTTTTTGTAACGGCCAGCAGCGTCGTATAATTTATGATCTGTCTGGCCGCCTCTTGTCATATTCCGATTAACCAGCCCAACCCTGACGAGTTAGCGAGTGAGCGAGAATTTAATCAGGCATTGTTGTTTGCTAGTGTGCTACACGCAAGATAATTTTTTTTTGAGTGTTTCGTGTTTTTGATACTATATATAAGTATATATTTGTTATTTCAACTTTCTAACTTATCCACATGTATTTGTGTTTATATTTTTTGCTTGCTCTGTATAATCTATTTTTAGATAAATTTACACCAAATTAGTAACTATACTATGTATTTGTTTCTATTTTATTTTATTTTTAATTTTCTTTTTTTTAAGTTTTAGCTTTTGTTTATCCATATCCATATATGCATTAACGCAGCCATTACGGCTTTAATCACGTTTATCTCGTTATCTGTGGTGAACTGTTAAAATACCTGTGATATCTGTAGACTCGTGTAGATTATTGATAATCCATTTCCTGTTTTGGTTCGATTGTTTACAATTCATCGCACTATGAGAATGTACAACGAAAAGCTTTTTTCAAAATAACTGAGCATCTGTTTTCTTTTTTTATTTCTTCTTTAAATCATGAGACACACAAATGTAAATAAACTAAAAATATATTTTTGTGTTGCAAATAGTTTTTAATGTACCAAAAAAATAGGATTTATTCAAAATTTCCATTAAAATTTATATATGCCGAAAATAGATATAATATTGGGTTATCCATTTTGCTGTTCCAAAAAAAATTTTAAAATATTAATGCGCCTCAAATATTTTTCATTATATATTAATATATACGTGTATTTCATTATAAAGTTTGAACCTTGGCGTTATATGTGAAACACTACATTATTCATATGACACGAATTTCGGCAAACTTCGATACATTTGTGGTGAGTTTCGAACACTTTTTGGTACGTATTGGACGGTTCTTTAGCCTTAACATGACGAATATTGGTTTTCAAGTGACCAAGAGTTAAAGGGTTATTTGCATAAACACGGCCTTTCTCATAGCCCACAATAAAAGTCCAACGTTGTCGAATGGCATAAACTAAGTGGCCAATAGACATCGCCTAGATGAGACATTATGCGAGCGGAGAATTTTCCTCCTAACATAATCATGTCGCTCATGTTGTGTGACTCAACATGGATTTAAGTGTAAGTAAGGCCCCAGCTCTTAAAAAAGTCGACACATTTGGGTCTTCGGCTTACTTTCACTAACAGTAGATATATTTGAGCTGAAACGTACAAAACGATGAGGCACATCCCTTACAATATGTGTAACTGATTTTCAACTTTGTTTTTTTTTAATTTCACCAATTGCTGAATTATTTTTATGGTTTTGTGCCGCAATCTTCTCTAAAAACATGAAACGAGGTCACGTTTAAATCACCATTTTTGTATTATGTTTTAACAATTTTAATGCGCTGTGCGTTCATTAAGCAATCAATTTCCCTAAATGCCTTGCTTTTAACTAATAAAAGAAGACATCTACTTTTGAAACTACGAAATGGATAACTAATTAACAGCTCTACAATGAAAACTCGGACATTTCCGGCTAGATTTTTTTGCGAATTAAGCTTTATTTAAACATTTCATTATCTTTCAGCATAATATTGCGTATTTTTCCTTCAAAAGTCACACATATTTTTTTTTTATTATTTTTAATGCATTATTTAATTCCTTATTATATAAAAACGTATATAAAAGCGTAAATACAGCTGCTTGCTCCCCATGACATCAGGGCGTATGAGTAATATGATATATTTATATGCAGGTACTTTGGAAAAACTTAAGTAGATTCAATAAAGAGCTGTAAATTAAATTGTTCTCTACTGTTAAGTAGCCGATAAAAAGGCTGTTATTGACATTTAAGTGATTATCTGCGTATGAACATGGCGTATGAGTAATTTGTGGAGCGTAAAGTAAGTTAGTGTCCAGCGTATTAAAATGCGTATGCAATTCACATGCGAGTGTAAATTTTATTGTACGATTTTAACAAATGGTTTGCTTTTAGATTAATTTACTAAAAAAATTTAAATGAATAATGATTTTAAGCGATCTTATTTGAGCTTCAGTTAATGTATTTCAATGAAATTTCAGTTATGACTCAACTTAAAAGTGATTATTAAATTGAAATTACTATACTCGAAGTAGTATTGCAAATCATAGTACTTTGACATCTTGGAAATCAAATAGTTGAAAGCCTAAACAATTAAAAGCTCAAGTAACCAAATTTAATTGAAATATGCTATATGTAAGGCGCAATCACTTTAATGTATAAATAGTTTAATACTCTTCTTACAACATTTCCGCTGTAGAAATTTTCCTTTTCTGTTGCCTTTAACAATTTGCATAAACCTATTATTAACAACAAGTACAACTCTAGCTGTCACGCACATCAATCATGAGATGTCGCCTTAAACAGTTCTTGGAAAAAAAAAAGTGGAAAACACAAGTGAAAAATTAAAACATGCTAAGACAGATAGGTTGACCTGCCACGCAACATTTTTGCTACTGTGGGCTAATTTTCTACTTCTGCTTCTCACTTCCTGATTAAGGAAAAATCACTTTGCTGTTTGACATTACGAACGCCTTTCGTGTTATATGAAAATGTATTTTTCTAGTTGAGAAAGGATTTTGGTGTATTCGCTTCCGACAAGTGACCTCAAAGTAGAGTAGATTAGCATGGTGCAGTGCTTTTGTGTGTAAAGCAGTATTTCTAAATAAACAGAATTCAAAAGGGATCCATAGAAAGGTGTATAAACAAAGTTCGTTTAAAGTGAATTTTAAAATTCTAAAAGTTATCTATACTGGTTT